TCTCCAGCATTGTAGAATAAAAACACGCACCTCTGGAAAAATATAAAGAAATTTGAAGTATTTGAACAATATCCTCGATCCAGCAGCACGCGTGCACACACACACACACACACTCACACACACTCACACACACTTATTTGGGGCAGGATGGGGAAAAGGGCGGGGACAGGGAACAAAAAAACAAATTTGGTAGGCCTCATACAAATTTTTTAAAAAGGCACATCATTCACTCCAGTTAGTAACTCCCCCAAAAATATTTTGGCTAAAATCAAGGAGAGGCCGAAGGTAAGCCTATATCATAATAGTGAACTGCTCAGAAAAGGTTAGATTATCTGCCACAGAGGTAAAATGAAAGCTGGCTTCCAAACTAGTTTCAAATTTTAAAACACAGGAATTTAAGTGGTCCCAGTGAATTTTTAAAAAGCTCCTGAAATCCTGCTACTCTGCCAGAGCAGAGTAAAACTAACGAGGTCATAAGCACTACACGCACATCCCAGCTTCTCTTTCCCTCGTAATCATTAGCTATGTTTTTAAAGCAGTTAGTGGTCCTTACCATTGCATTAAGCTGGGAGTTGCTTGCCTGCGTAATACCAAGAATATTGGTGGTGTGCATCACTTCAACAGAAAAACTCGGCAGCCAACTCGCGATACGGGACCCTGAAACAAATGAGAATCCAGCACAAGTTTTAGAGCCCTGACTCTTTCCCCGTGTCATTGACTCTACAGTAGGCCACTCTATAACAACAGCTGGTATTCAGCAAGTGCTTACTTTATGCCAGCCTTTTGTGTCAAGTGTCTCACATGGATTACCTCATTCGGTCCTCACTAAAACCCCACATGGTACCTCCTATTATTATTCTCATTTTATTCTTCTCAGAGATATGACTCTAGTCCCCTGGGCCTTTGGTCCTTAAGACACTTAGAAGTTAGGTAACCTGTCCAAGATCACGCACTTTAATGATGATGGCCAGGATGTGAATCCAGACAGCCAGGTTCTAGAACACTTTGCCAGTGGCCTTTCCTTCTTTCTAGGGGCCCTTGGTCAACATGACCCCCAATCCACCCTCTCGGCCTAGAATGTAAGGAAGGTGTTCATGGCTCTAACAGATGAGTTTCTCTTTCACACTATACACAAATCACTACTCATTTGGAGACATCATTTTCACAATTATTTTCATGAAATTTTATTAATTTCTCCTTATTAATCTGACTTAAAGACCTTGGTTTTCTGACTCAAAATCCTTTTCAAAGAGTTCTACCACACAGGTTTGTGGACTAATGGCACCGATAAGTCTGCTGCTTCTGTCATTTCTCTAAGAAAAGGGGAGCCCAAGATATAACACCACCAAATATTAGCTGTAAAACAATTCAATATCAAGCCACATATTTAAGGGTGCTTTTTCATTCTTTCACAAAGAAGCAATGAAGCACGGAATATAAAACTGTTAACAAAATTTTACTGAAAAGGAATTTGGAAACAGAGAAACTTTATTTGGCAATTTGAAAATCAGAAAGACACAGCCTTGGGGCCGGCCCAGTGGCGCACTGCTACAGTGCGCCGCTTGGGAGCGCAGCAGCGCTCCCAC